AATGAAAGCAAACCAGGAAATTAAAAAATACAGCAAGTTTGCCAGCTTAATACACACAGCACTGTCTTTAGGAATCCTCATGGTATGCATTTTAACTGCAATTAAAATATTACACAAACTATTTGTTTTGACAACAAAATTGCCTCTCTGATCCTGTGTCTCAGGGTGCTCTTCATTAACTGTTTCCCCCAATATCTTCATTTTTTGGCTGAAACCTTTCAAGTAATGTAAACATTTGTGGTATAAAAAATATTATACCATCTCTTCATCTTCTTTTCTTGAGTAACTGCCTAAGAACGAAAGATATTAACTGTAGCACTGTGTCTCACAAATGGACTCCATTTAATCTCCATGTTATGAATCCCTAGAAATATGTTTATTCTAAACATTTCATTGCATGAGGTACTCCTGAAGAGAATATCTCATGTTCAAGAGCAGTTTGTCCATAACACAGACCATATACAAGGGATGAATTTGTTTACTCTTTGATTCACACAGATTACACTCGTGTGCTCAGTTGTGGCCAACAGTTCCCTCAGGGAAAGAAACCTATGTGGGTTAGTCTAATAAAAGATAAATCTGTAAAGCCTTCTTCACTTACAACCACACAAGCATAAGAAAAACCCAGATACTGCACTCTAAAGTTCCTGGCTTGCAAATTAGGTGTCATGTCTACGAGGAAGACACACAAGGGGCAAAGTAGAAGGCATATTGGTTAGTCTGTTCAAACACACCTCTGCCAGCTGAAGTCTTTCCCCTGGTTGAACTGAAGTTCATTTGCTCTAATCTTTCTAGTGGAAGGTGTTCCTGCCATAGCAGGGGGGCTGGAACCAGCTGGTCTTTAAGGTCCCTTCCAACCCAAACCATTCTGTGATTCTGTGATCCACCCTGGAGCTCTCTGTTACATCCAAAATAAACTCCAATAAAGTATTCAAGGTCCAATATCTACAACGGATCCACGTGTTATTTCCACAGTGAACAGTGCAGAACACCATGCCAGGGCTCCTGATACATATGCACAGCTCATGAAGATGAAAAGACATAACTCTTCAGAAAGAGAGGCTTAACATTAAAGATTTTATGAGCAGGAGAACACAAACCACTTCTCTTACTGCTCCACCCTGATCCATGAAAGCTTGCAGACAAATTGTAGCTAGGGGCATAAATCTGCTATCAGAGCCAGAAGTACAGCTGAGATCCCCTCACTGCTGAAAGGGAAACAATAACCAGCACAAACACATGCAGACACACACACACACACAGAGTTCATGCACAGCTGTCTGATTTTAACTGCAGGTCTGCTAGGAATTGAGGACACATATGATGAGAGGCTGTGAGGAGATGGCAGTAGAGTAATATTAGTCAGCAACCATCAGCAAAAATGACAGGCATCATACGTTCATTTGTAGGTATTATTGCAAGCACTATACAACAGCTCTGCATTATTATTATTCATTATTTCATGACTCCCTGCGCAAGGATCTCACTATAAAGCAATTAAATTAGACTAGCTCATTGGCAAACAACTCAGGAGAGTGATGCAGCTCCCAAAAATGCCTGCACCCATGCTTACACAATGACCTAGATGAACCAGTTAGTATTTTCTCAAATCATCAGCAATGCCTAAATTACCAGGGTTAAAAATGAACCTCAGACATTCCTTTTGAAATTCAGTGTTAATCACAAGAGGCAGTATTCAGTTTATTTTATTGTGAATTTGCATATTGTACAACTATTTAGTTACCCTTGCAAGGAAAAAAAGTAGACTGACCAAATCCTGATGCTCTAAGGAATAAGCCCAAACCCATACATTGTTTTACAATGCAGAAGCTCACTAGCCTTTGAAAGAAAATACACATCAATGAATTCTGTATGAACTTTGAATTTGGAAACAGCTTTAACATTCAAATAGGTCAGGATCTGTCAATTACATAGTAACTGTATGCATGAATAACTTCAAGACTTTGAATACAAGTTGGTACTGCAAATTTCAAGGCGTGCAAGACAGTATGAAAGGGAACTTCTAGGAATTCTCAGCAATAAAAACCAATACAATGTCAGCTAGTCTATAACTTGCCCACTGGTTTCATATTACTCACTTGTTTGAAGTTTACAAGGCTCATTTTTCTCACTGCTGCCATCATAGATTGCTTCTATGTGTCTGTACCACCGGACAACATGGATATACTGGTCCACAGGTGGCCCCGAAAACTTTCTGAACACCTCCACATCTGCATGTGAAAATGTGAACCCCTGGATATAACTACGAGTGCTCAGGTACTTGTTCAAAGCCTTCACCCTGGCTTCCTCTTCACTAATGCTCAGAATAAAACTGTAGCTGGAAGCTGTAAAGAGAGGCACAGGACATTTGGTCAGCATTAAAAGAAGGAGATCCCATGACCAAAATATATCCTTATACTATATATCTCCCCCTGTATATTAGCTCTGGCAATGGACATGAAATTTGAGGAAAATATGTTTAATACAAGCTATTCAATAACTCTATCTCCTGTTAATAGGATTATGTCCATTATGTTTTTCAAAGACAACTTTACAAAGAATAATAAGGACAAAAGCACAGGTCCTTTGCATGGAGAAATATAATCTACTGAAATTGGAGAAAACTCTTCACACAGAGCAAACCTAGTCAGTCACTCTTTTCCATGCTGCTAAAACACTCATCCTGCAAATAGTCAAATACAATTAATTTTGTACATACTTGAGCATATCCTTAAATGTGTGTGGGACTGGTGCCTGAAAGGAAGCTCCCAGCATGATGCTCAGTTTCTGCTACTTGCTCTAGCAACTCAAAACTTCAGCTGTGTCCTTCCATATCACTGTGTCTCCTCAGTCATATGAAGAATTTTTAAAATGAGTAAGAGCTACACAAATGAATAGAAAGGGTATCAGAGCTTCTCTCTAGCTATTTTTTAATTCCGTGATTTTTCTGGAATACAGGCCAAGCAGGTTCAGTTATGCCTCATCTTTACAAACACAGGGACAAGGAGGAAGCAGCACAAAGGCTCTCTTGAGTTGGGGATGCTCACAGTAACAAGAAGTCCTGTGCAAGTCAGTGGGCACAAAGCACTATGGAGGTTATGGCACCAGAGCTAGCACTGCCATTAGGCAAACCCAGCATTCCTATTTTCCTGCAATGATTCAATGTTTGTAGCTCTGTCCGTGTTCAAAGTACTGTATAAACATTAACCTATATCCTGCTTAGGCAGTCAGCACAGAAGGTAATTTAAGTCAAGGTCAGAGTGCAATAAAGTGAGCCAGGCAGTGTGAGAGCACCTGTCTCTGCTCCCAAACTCTGACAGAGAACACTGCCAGAAATGTTGCTTCCTGCAGTGGTGTGAACATCTTCTGCATCAGTAGTTCCCAAAGCACAGGAGGTGCTCACAGGCCAATTGCTTAGAAAGGCAAGAATGGGGACAGCCATAAGCTGAGACAGGGGAGATTCAGATTAGATGTTAGGAAAGATTTTTCCCTGTTCGGGTGTTCAGGCACTGGAATAGGCTGCCCAGGGAGGTGGTGGAGTCACCAGCCCTGGAAGTGTGTAAGGCATCAGGATCTGATGCTGCAGGATCTGGTTTAGGGTTCAGGGGTTAGAGCAGCGTGGCAGGTTAGTGGTTGGACTCAGTGATCTTAGAGGTCTCCTCCAACCTTCTGTGATTCTATGAAAAGAGATGGGGAAGTGATGGCTAGGAGAGCATGTGAGGAACTGCACACCTGAAAAGTTTTTCCAAATACCATCAGTTAAGACTATATGAGCAGCTTGTTTTCTATATGGAAATCAACTATTAAACTACTCTACAGGAACTGGGAATGAAAGGGAAATGGCAGCTGGATACCAAGCATGTTTGTGCTTGACTCCTTTGGGTATAAATGAGATACAGTGCCACATCAGGAGAAGTAATAAAAATGATCAATGATTAAAAAATAATATGTAAAAAAAAAATCAAAGGTCACAAAAGATAATTAAAATTCATACACAAAGACAGTTTTATGTAAAGTCCAAATCTTTCTCTGTAATTGTTCAGTATAAATAAGGAATAACAAGGAAATAATGGTTCGTAATTAGACCTTATGGACTTGGCTTACCCAGGTGAATGGGGTTCAGCTTCGGCTCACATAGTTCATTTCACTATAAACTTTTCAGGCTCCTAAATATTTACTGATGTTTATCATCACAGAACTTTCCATGTTTGTAAACATGAAATAGTTTGAAATAGTTGTGTTCATTAACTATGTATACCTAAGACATAAGTTCTTCTTCAATGTAAATTTTGTACACATGCATCACATGAGGGAGAAGGCCAAAAAAAATATTACAAGAACGATCTGTGTAGAAATGAAACTGTATCTCAAAGAATAGATCTTAAAAGATCTCTTGCAAGGAAAGCAACACTCAATTTGCAAAGTATTATTAGGGTTATTATGACCATTATTCACACACCAGACTGCTAATGGGAAGCAAGTCAGTGTATCTGAAACAATGTAAGCACTTTCCAACCACATCTGTAAACCAATCTGAAAGGGGAGTTGCACAAACTTATGCACAAAAACAATAAAGATGACAGAACTCATACAAGCTAATTTTGGCAAGGAGAGATGGCAAATACTTCCTGCGAATGTTGGTACCAGTTTAGGTCTGATGATATTAACAACTATAATTATTTTGAGAATCTTGGCATGCACATTAATACCTGAAATTATGAACTGTGACCCGTGTCTGGCTGCAAGAGCAACAGCAGACTTGAAAGTATAATCCATCAAACACCCAGTTAGCCCAGGGCACCTAACAGAAGGATGTCTTTATGCTGAGACTGATCCCCAAAACAAATTCAGCCCAAACTCAGGTTCATGACTGGTTCATGCAGTACAGCATGAACACACCTGAGCAGCTGCAGACAAGGTTTCCCAGCAGCTGAGCCACAGCAATCATGGGCTCCCAGCAGGCTCACTGTACCAACACGAGTGTCCCACGTTGGTTTCACAGGCTGCGCTGAGCTCCAGACTCCCTTTTCTAGACCCACGGCTACTTTCCAGACCATGACAGCTAGCTTAAAGCTATCCGAAATGAATTCTCTCCACTGCAGTCAGGTGCAGAGACACAGGCAAAGCTGCTGTGTCTGAGGTTGCCGAGTGATCAGTGCAATTCTCAAGTACCTCTGAGCACCCTATTTCAGTACATGCAGGACAAAATCATTCTCACTTCTGGCATTCTTGTGAGCAGCTCCAAACTGAACTCACAAAACAAAAACTCTTCTCCTGAAGCACAGGGTGCTCTCAAGGGAAGAAGGAATGACCATGACAACAATGTCTTTTCGAAGGCAGTATATGAGCAGACCATTTTTTTCAAGCAAAAGTAATCAGTGAAAACTGCCTTTACATAAGCCTGTGCTGAGCTAATTGACATCACTACTTAAACAGGAACAATAAATCTACAGACTCTTGTTCTTCTGCGGTTTCCATTATGCACCTTCAGTTCCCCCCTAGAGTCTCACAATGCCTTTAATTCATCACACACTCCCACTGAAGTATTTCCAGGTACCTCCAAAGTGCTGCATCCCTTCTTCCCAAACACTTCAGTATCCCCATCCTCCTGTACTGCTCAGTCTGCCAACTGTCAAATGTAATTAACGCCGATCAATCAATTCAAAAAGCGTTGAGGAAGAAAGGCCAATGGACATATGGACATCTGCCCTATTTTGCCTGTTGCTTTAGGCAAACAGGCTAAGAAATTGCCCTTCTCTCTGACTTCAATTTTTTTGCCACTCCCAAAACAGAAAAACTGCAGTTGTTGCTACTCAATTGCATTAGGAAATGTCTTCTTGACAGAGTAATACAGAGAAGTATTACAGAGCTGTTGCATAACACTGAATTTTAACTCGTGAACAGAATGACCCATAGATATCAAATCATATCACTCAAGAGCAATTCCATTCAGGAAACAAGCACTGTGCACGAGTATTGGAGAGGGAGCAAAATAACCTTGAAAAATCATAAGAATCATTGTTAATAATGTAGTATTTTAAAGCTGTTTAAAAAACAAATCCACTGCAGACATGAATTAATACAGTTCTCATACAATAACTGTTGGTGTATAATCTTTTTGGGTGATGCAACTGTCACACATTCTTCTTTCCATGCATGGAGTGCTTCGAAGACTACTCCAAGACACTGGAAATTGTCTGCAAGACAGCAGCAACACACAGACTCAAAGGCATAGAACTCCTTCTACATTTTATTTGCACATAAAATGCCTTTTGAAGTTTAATCAAGACACATAACCCACACAATATCAAATTTCATGGAAAATTTTCACTTTTATTGACTTGAAAATGAAAACCTCTGTTCCTTGAAGGTGCTGACAGCAAAGTAAATACAGAAAAGCCATAAAGCAGGCAGTAAGCTAGCTGACACAAAACCAGGGAGTTACTTAGCTTCAGGGAAAAAGTAGGTTTCCTGGACTTCCCTGAACCTGCTAACCTTGTTAACTGGATGACAACAGAAATGTTCTGGGATTTCTGAGGAGGCATTCTCCAAGAAGAAATCTTAGCCATTTCTAAACATTTTCAAATGTAATTTCTCTTCCAACTTGGCTTTCACAAATTTAGAACAATTCAGAAAAGACAAATGAAAAATGTTTAACTATTAATATGCCTCCAAACTGGCCATTTATCATTCTGGTTGGCCACTCTGGTCCCTTTGGAGGGAAGTCCAGCTGTCTGCTCAGCCAAGATGAATTATCCTTTTCTATAAAAATTTGAGAAGCACTGAACCAATGCCACGATCCCATCTATGCAGACAGACAGAGACAAAGGACTTCTCAAGACTCACACATGAGGATCAAGAGACTTTCAGCTGAGCAGGGATTTTTAAGCCTGGAGTATTCCATACCAAGGAAGAGCTTGTCAGTCCTAGTCACTTTATCCCTGTAAGTTTCACTTCCACTTCTCCTGAACCGAAACTAAACACAATTGCAATTTCAGTGAAATAAAACCAACCGGCCAACCAACTGCCTAATAATAAACAACTAAAAAGTTTGTTATAGTACACCTGAAATGAGCTTTTGGTGGGGTTTTTTACAGAAAATATTCCTGAAAAAGCCAGTCCCCTGCCAATAATCAGTGTTTCTGGAGCCACTTTAATGGGAATGTTACTTGCCACCAAGAGCAAAGTAACTTTCAGTAACAAAGTAAAAGGCGTCAAATCTTTCTATCTACAGATCCTTAACAGGAATGACAAAAATTTCCAACCCTTTACATACCATAATGGTATTTCATACTTGTACGACTGGTATTCCAAGTTCCCATTTGCTACAGGAACGCCAAAAATT